GGAATACCTCTAGTGAGACGATTTGAAAATTATTTTTTGACCAACACCTATGATAAGTAGGAGGATGATAACACCTATAATATTTTTTATGTACAACATATAAAAAAAACACATTAAATAGTCCATAGAGGTCAACTTGCTGCGTTGATGCTTATGAAGATGAATATATGCAACACATACAAATATACAAGGGGTAAATTAGAAACTATTTGAGCGACAGTTAAATTATGTAAAGTTTCAAAAGGTGTCTTAAACTCAATATAACTTGAAGGAGTCCGATTTATTAAATATATGGTTGAGGTAAGAGCTTCTCCCTAGTAACACAATAACATGTATGTTTCAATTGACAAAACACGAACAACTTCTAACAAATGTCAATTTTTTGTTTCAACAACCTCATTTTGTTGAATGTATTAGGACAAGTGATTTGATTAATAATTTTATTAACTTTTAAATATTGTTGTAGTTCAAAATTTTTATATCCTCGACCATTATCATGACACAAAACTTGAATTTGAGCATTATATTGACTTTTTATCATTTTATGAATTTTTTTAAATAATAAACTTACCTTATTTTTAAATTTCATTAAGTATATAACCAGGTTATTCTTGTACAATCATCAATAAAAGTGACAAACCAATGAGATTCTCCTAAAATATGGGTTTTAGAAGGACCCTACACATCAAAATGTATCACCATAAAAGGTTGAAGACTTTTATTTAAAATTAATGAAAATGAGGTTCTATTACTTTTTGCAAATTTACTAACATCATGGTGAAAACTATAAATTTCATACTTTTGAAATAAAGTATGAAATAATTTTCTTAAATACCCAAATGAGGTATGATCAAGGTGTCGATGCCACGACTAAATTTTAGATTTTTTATTTTCTCCCTTAGAATTATCAACCATTAATGCTTATTGTGACTCATCATATTTTTTGAAAGATCTAGGTAATAAACCTTTTTCTCTCTTAATATGATTAGGGATGGCAAAACGAGTCAGTCCGCCCGCCAAGGGGCGAGTTAGCGGCTGGCCCGCCATAATTTAGAAAAAATATATATTTTTTTAAATAATTTTTTTAATAAATTTAATAATAAAATTATTATTTGTTTGTCAATAATTCAATATATATATATATATATATTATTTCAATTTAATAATATAAATCAATACATTATTTTAAGAAATTATAATTTAGAACAATAATAAAATTTACATAATAATAAATAATAACATATATATATATATATATATATATATATATATATATATATAAATAACGTTAAACTTATAAAATTTATATTTTTTATATTGAAAAATTCAAATACCTATATCTTTTTTATTTGATAAAACTTCATATTATTCTTGGTTGAGTAATTCTTACACCTTTAATTCAAGTAATAAGGATAAAAATAATCAGTGCTTAGGATAAACAAGGAAAACATGAGAGAATGTTATGTTTCAAGAAGGATAATATTTTCTCGTGAGAATGAAAATTTTTTAATTCTCTTCTTAAAATTTTTAACTTTATATATTATCTTTATAATTAATTTTATTACAATAAAAAATTATTTTTTTATTAATTAGGCGGGCGTGAGCTGGCCCGTCCCGCCTACGAGTTGGTCCGACGGGTTGACGGACTTGGCGGGGTAGGCCAAACGGGCTAGTGGGCTGAAAACACCAACCCGCGCCCGCCATATTAAGGCAGGCTGCCGGACCTAGCCCGTTTTGCCATCCCTAAATATGATAACCAATTGATTTTTTATTTATTTTTTATATCTTTAAGAACACAAGAGTCGGGATAAAAAAAATTATCACACAAGATAAATTAGTTGTTATTTGAGAAATAGATAAAATGTTAAAATTTAAAGAAGGAGCAATCAAGACAGAATAAATATTTAAAGTACTAGTAAGATTTAAAAGATCTTTCTCCAATAATTCGGGTTTTATTTCCATTTACAGTAGAAACATATTTTTGTGTAGATGATTTAGTTCTTGTGACCTTACTAGGATTGAATATCATATGGTTTGTAGTTCTAGTATCAATAATTCATATATCATTAAAAATATTTACAATCTTTCTAGGATTATGTATAATTGCTTCTAATACAAATACCTTTTCATCTTGTTTGATAAGGAATACATCTTTCTTTCTTTTTTTACTCTGACATTTGTATCTCATTCCTACCATCATAACATGCTTTTGAAAGAATATTGAAAACTTCTTGAGTTTGAAAAACAAAAGAAACTAATTTCATTTGAGATGTATCAAAATTTCTTCCCTCCATTTGGATGATACAAAGGATTCAAGATCTAAAGGACTCTTACCACTGGAATATCAACTTGAAAAATATAAACTGAAATATATTCATTATTTGATATATAATAAAATATGTACATCCTATTTATAAAATACAAGATATGTGTAGCTAATTAGGTTATTAGAAAACTAAAATATTTTATAATTATATCAAATCCTAATAAAATAATATGTAATCTGTACAACGATACAAAAGAATACAAAGAAAGCAAATCTCAACAAAACCTCAACTTCTTCGGGTTTTTCTTTTTTAAGTTTTATAATTATGTTATGATCTTTTAGTATTCATCATATTCCTTGTAGTTACCATTTAGTCTTCACAGTCTTATGATCCTAAGGTGGATGTCAAAATATTCGTATTAGGCCGAGAACGTCCTACAAGATCAAGTTTATAATTTAGTCAACAAGTATATGTAGATCTTTTCACACTTTATGATAGGTGCATTCATAGAAGTTTTTTCTTCGATGAAGTAAAAGTTGTAACTTGTATATTTAAGTTTTTTTTTTTTTTTTGCCTACAAAACCAGAGCTTTATCATCACGAAATGAGTGTTGTTCGCTCTCTGTTGCGCTTTCACCCGTCAGACGTTGATGGAAAAAATTCACACACTCCCAAACGAAAGAAAACACTTCTCAGCTTCTACACCCATGGAGGTAAAAGAAAATTGTGTTTACAAATACAAACTTTTTATTTTAAATTTATTTATTTATTTATATAATTTTAATTGAAATAAATAACTTAAATTTTACTTAAAAATATCTCTGATATGTTAAGAGCAATTAAGATAATATGATATCAATTAACTTAATTCTTATATTATATTAGATTTAAAAAAATTAATTAAAATTAGACGGATAATCAATATATATATATATATATATATATATATATATATATATATATATATATATATATCATATTTAAAAAAATAGAAATTTACGGAATAGGATTTCATGACATAAGTCAAACACGTGATTCTAAAAAATAGAAGACATTGGAGCACCTCTCAATTCACACGAGCGCTTCCTGCCAAGCATCAAGTGGACATAGATCATACATCTCTCTCCCCAGTGTAACCGATCAAGGTCACCAAGTTGGATAATCTTTCGACGTTGGATCAGTTCAAAAATTTTACTTCTTCCTGCAAAAACAGAACCATTGAGCTTCCACAATCAGTATATGTGGAACTTACCTGCTCCATTCTTTCTCCATCGCATATCTAGGTTACCTCTAAACAATCTACCGAACTGTGAGATTGTTCAGACAGAAATTGTTGATACATGTTTTCAAATTCTTGGATAAAAATTCAAGAAGGCTTGTTGGGTCCATTCTACAAAAGTCATAACAAAATGATACACGGGACCACATTAATTATATCTTGGTACTTGGTGTCATGTTCTCGATGTCAACCTTTCTGCTCTTATCAATTTCCTACCATTTTTACTTCGTCAAAATATTAAACACTTTAAAAAGCTAATTTTATTAAATTGAGTTTCGGTTTTATCAGGTTATTCAGACCAACCACATGTAGAAGCCTCCTCGCAAAAACCCAACAAAATTAGAATGCAACTTATAAGAATATAGCATATAGATAATATACTCGGATAATAAGACTCATTCCACCATTCATCCACTTGCTTTTGTGATGCCACTTGCGAAAGAGATTGGTTGAAATCTTGATTTGATTCCTATTCGGAAGATGTCGTATGCTCCAAAAGAAACTAAGTAACCAAGGTTGTGGTTGATAAACTCTGTTCTTATATAATGCTAGATATTTGTCATGGCTCAGAATCGGGGATCCATCACAAGTTCCTATTTATAGACCATATATATAATGCTTTTTGTTGTTGATGCTTACAATATTTTACGTTAAGAGCACATATATAAAAGAAAAGAAAGCAACTTTGAAGAAGCATAGTTAAAGGTTGAATGATGTATGATGACAGACAACATGCATAAATACTCTTTTTTTGCCGCAGCACAAATGCAAAGCATCCAAAGAGAACCTAGCTCGGTTGTATTACTAATGTTTGTACCAGAGACACTAAAAGTAATAGTATCTAAGACCCAAACAAGAGAATTTAAGTAATAATACTCTTACATTATTTTATAGCTTTTTATTATTCTGTAGCAATTTTATTACATAAGTCATATCTACAAAATCTTAAATTTGAACTCAGTTATTTAATACCTAAGTTTTGTACATCAAAATTAACTGGTATATATTTTCAAATCCATACACTAAAAGTAAGTTCCTATGTTACTTTTTTGTTAAGTTCATACTGTTAATATCCACTTGGAAATCAAATTGAAGAAAAAGCAAGCTTAAGTTATCTGAAGTATTTGGGGGAAACATGAAGTTAACATGTCAACTGAACTGACATAAGATACCTGTTTTTATTTCCTTTGTAATACTTTGAAAACCCAATCTGTTGACCATATCACACTGAAATAAAATGTAAATACCCTAACCAATAATTACTAAAAAGCCTTGAAATGACTCGTGTTACTTCATCAAAAGCATATATATATATATATATATATATATATATATATAAAGATTGACTCACTAATGACTAATAAACTGTCTTCATCCCATTATAGCATCCTAACTATCTATTTTGTGACCAAACAAACTGTGTTGTGTTGTGACTATAGTACATCATCAGATTCACTACACAATGGGAACTGCAGCATTGAGCTGTATGGATTGGATGAGATCAGAGTCTGGCAAGTTGAGAGGAGGCAGAGAAAAAGGACTCTGTGTGGAGCTACCTTTTCTCATCTCTTGCATTGTAAGTAAAGCTGCCACAGTGTTTCTGAATATTCCTTCTCCTGCTACTGTGATGGCCTCTTTTGCTTCCTTTGCTCTTTCTGCTTCTTCCTCAGCTGGGAACACTGCATCAATTATGCATTCACATTCCTTCACAAGTTTTGAAATTAGCTCTGTTGTGAAAAAGGGCTGCTCCAACACTTTCTGAATGAATGGCAAACGCAGAAGCCCCCCAGTCCTCTTGTCATATTTCTTCAGAATTTTAGCCAATCCTACAATTTTCACTGCCGTTACTTTTTCAAGATTGCATCAAATGGAAGTGATTATGTAATCTGACGTGATTTTTTTAATCAATAACAGAACTCTCATGTTTCACTATTTTGAACTGTTGTTGATTACATATACATTATCTTCCACATGGACAAATTATTGTATAATCTGGAAACATAACATATTCATTGTATGAATTTTTCAATTCACTTCGCATTAAATGAAGATTGATATGTAGGAACCTAAACTTCTAATGCATGTTCTTAGAAGCGGTGTATAGCTTAAGCATAATGGATTCAAAACCTGTGAGGAACTCCTAAGAGGCTGCAACAGGTTTAGAACATGGTACCTGTGTAATTGATGTTGCTGTAATTTACTAAGAGAACCATTTCACCATGGAAATCAACAATAGCTTTTCTGATTTTTTCCATCTCATCCTTATAATCTGCTTCTGAAGGTTCACTTCCATTTGGTCCCCATAAATCAACTACTCTCTTGATTCTCTGTTGTACTTCCTGCACTAAATGTCTAATTATATACAAAGCACTTTTCCCGACCCATATCTTCAAAAATATTAATTCAGAAATTCAAATAATTTAATTTTAACAACTTATCATCTTGAAAACGAAATGTACCATTACATTTTTTAAATAATTGTGAGCATTTTTTTTTATTTATACTTTTTAATAAACGATTAAGTATACATTAATTAAAGAGTAAATAAAAATAAGAATATCACTACTAAAAAATAATTAACATTTTAAGCTGTGATAACAGTTAATAAATAACAACAAAACACCTCTATGATATGCACATCTAATTCAAAAATAATATTAATAATAAAAACGATTTGCTACAACTACATTGAAACGCGTTAAAAAGCAGAAAATTGTTGCATGCACCTAACCAAAAGCGTAAGTGGGGGCAAAACGTGGTTATAATACTGAAATTCTTTGAAAAATGGAGGTACATCTTTTAATATAAAGGAATGTTTTTAAAATAATTATGTTTATTATAATATATAATATTTTTGTTAATAATAATAATAATTTTATTATAAAAAATAATTATAACAATAACAAAATTTATTATCATGATTATTATATTAATAATTAAGATTATAAAATAAAAATATAATAAAATAAATATTATTTAAAATTGATAAGATTGATATAAGATAAATAAAAAAATTATATTTAAAAAAATATTTTTAAATTTGTATTTTTAATAAATTAATTCGATATAAAATTTAATTGATTTTCTCAATTTTATTAATTTTGTGTTAATTTTACTAATTTTATACTAATTTAATTAAAATTTAATTATTTAAAAGCAACATGTTCATTTCCATTTAGAGTTTAAGATTTGGGATCTAAATATCAGCTAATCAGATACGCTTTCAAAGAGATATAAAATCTATAGCTTTCAAAGTTGATAGAGAAGTTCGAGAAATTTAAAGGCTCCGCCAAACACGGTTCACGCTGTTTCACGTGAAAACTAATCATATTCCCATTTTCTTCTTCTGGCCCATAAAAATGGAAAATAAAAAAAAAAACTAAAATGACGTGTTTATAATTTTAGGGATAAAAAATTTAATATCCATGCATACACATACTTTACTGATATAAGGCATGGCAATTAAACCCGTATCCGTGAGGACGACCGTCCCCGCCCGAGTTTGACTGTAAACCCAGAGTTGACGGGGCGAGGTCGGGTTGAGTTTTCCGCTTTAAAAGTCGAGGCGAGGCGGGATGGTAATGCAATCCCCACCCGACCCCGCCCCATCCCCGCCCCGACTTTATATTTAAATTTAAATTTTAAAATATTAATATTTTAAAAGTATTTCATTTTCTTTTTCTATTATATATAAGGTTATTTTTTTATATTTCACCAATTTTTATTTTTCTTCTACCCACTTTTTAATTTTTTTTATCTTTCTCAATCTTTTATATCAATTAATTTATTATATTATTCTCTCCCTTATCTTTCAGTTTTTCACATTTTCTTAGTCTCTCCCATCAATTTGTTTTTTTTTTCAATCTTTTCAACCAATTTGATGAACACAAAGTTAATCTTTTTTCTTTATCTTTTTCTAAATATTTTACATCAATCTTAGTAGTAACTAATATTAGTTTATTTATAATTTATATTTATTATGCCATATTTTTTTATCTTATTATGCTTATTTATCATATATCAAATTTTATCTTAATAAAATAATTGCATTTTAAAGGATTAAAAGAAATTAATAATTTAAACTTTTATTACTTCAAACTAATTAAATAAGAATTAACTTATTAAATATTTTCTTATAAACTATATATTGACAACTTAAAAATGAATTAACTTATATGTATAATTAAATATTTGAATACAGTATTATAATAATAATGTTATAAATATTCAAATATTTGAATACAGATGTTATAATAATAATAATAATAATGTTATAAATATTATATATATATATATATATATATAAATAAAAAATAATTAAATATTTCTTTTACATATATATTTTAATATAAATATAATAAATTAAAATGTATATTTAATTAATAATAACTATAAATTATAAATATTTATTTATATATAAAAATACATAGTAAAATTAATTTATTATAAATATAATAATCTTTTTAAAAATAATATAAAGTGGGGACGGGGCGGGGCGGGAACCCGAAACCCAGCGGGACGGGGATGGGGACTTAATTCCTAACCCGTGGGATCGAGGCGGGACGGGGATGGTTAAAAAGTCGGGAGCGGGACGGGGATGGTTAAAAAGTCGGGGCGGGGACGGGAGGCAAAACCCGCCCCGCCCGCCCGTTCCCATGCCTACAAAACATTGAATATATTAAAGGGACAAAATAAATTTTGAATATATTAAACACTGATGCCTCCACCTTAAAAAAATAAAAAATAAAAAAAAAAATCAGCGATTAAATTCGCTCTTTACCTTAATTAAAAACTGTGATAGTGTCATTTTCACTCTAGTCCCTCTTATGTAAAAAACCGTAAAATCTTACAAATAATTTCACTTTATATTTATATAAATTTATCGAATTATATATTATAATGTTAATTTTACTTTTCATTTATATATAATCAATTTTATTTTAAAAAGTAGTTTTAAAATGAATTTATACACGAATATAAAATAAAAATTTAAGAAACTTATATAAAGGATATTTTACAAATTAATTTATATTTAAACTACTTTTAATTTATACAAAATAATTTCAACTTATCTTCTTATTTTATTTATTGAGTTTTTATGAAAAAGAACATCATCAAATCATACCTACGAATTATATAAATCATTTGGTTTTATTTACGTTTTCACAGCTAGCTAACACTATCTCCACTTTAATCATAATTTCCAATAGAGGTAATGCAAAGCTTTCAACTAATCGTTCAAAAGAATATTCTTAGGAATAAACCACGAAATTATGATGAAGAACGATGGGGTTAATCCCCTCTAAAAAGAATGGTTTTTACCCACTCAACTGTGACATGTGACTGCTTAAAACAAGGATAAGACATGTAGACACTCCCTAATATTTCACACCATTTTAAAGGAAAATAAAAAGAACAGTAAATATACATAATAAATTAATAAAAAAGTAAATGATAAGAGATAAATAGACACAAATAAGAATTATCAAAACATGCTTTGTATATAGAAAAAAATATATATTATATAATGTCATTTGGAGATATAAATTACGATTCAAATATTGCTTATACAAAATAACAACATTTTCGAATAATGTTAAAATTCTATGCATGTATTATATATATATATAACAAGATCTTCACTATTATAATAATGTTCAAAGTATGTCAATATTTTTAAATTTAACTATCTATTAATATTAAAAAAACAAAAAACAAGACTCTAATTCTATAACATATAGACTTATATTGATGCTTTGATAACTTAAGAATATTTAAGTTCAAAAGTGGAAGAGTTAAAGAGTCTCTGTAGTAACAGAATGAAATGAAACCTAAAGAACCCAAACAGATATCTAACTAAAAAATAAAGCTCCAAAGTGAAATTAGATCATTGGTGTGTTTTGAGGAAGAACATTACCATGTGGCGAATGATGAAATCCTCCTCTTTCTCCATGAAGAAGCCATTGAACTTGTCTATTTCAGTGTTCAACAAGCACATAAACTCAGCCTCGGTTTTGCCATATTCGAAGGACCCATTCAACAACGTTGGAGCCTCCGATATGAGACGCACGAGCTTCTTCAATTCCTTGTACGACAAGTACTTATCCCTCCACTCCGGCAACGACTCCTGAATCTGTTGCTTCAGTCTCTTTCCAAACTTCATAACGTCGTCGAAAGCAAACTTTTTTAAGGAAAAGAATATATAAATAGTGTGAAGAAGATGAAATGCAAAAATGGGTTGGTGTGATATGAAATGTGATGAGGGTAGAAAGAAAAAGGGTTAAGAGGGGAATTTATTGGCGAAGGTTTGCTAGAATATTAGAAAGCATATGCTTGGGGTGATGAAGTGGCGGTTAGAAAAGTGTATAAAAAGGGTCGCTGGAGGGAGCATGAGAATTCACGGAAGCATATTCGGTTACTATATTACTACTTCCTGGTCGTAATTAGGACCAAGACTTTGAAAAATTAAAACTTGCCTGCTTCTTTCCTTCTTTCCTTGGTGGTGGCAAAATGTGGTTGAGTTTAGTAACCAGGGAACAATAGGGTGTACCCTTTCCCAGGTGGGTCCTCTACTTTTTATAAAACTATTTTATGTCATGTATTGTTTCATTAGATTTGTCACGTCATAGTTTCTTAAACTTTTACTTTTTCTATTCTTATTTTTTTTATATAGTTTTATAAACATGTTAAACAATATTGATTTTTTTTAACAAATTAAATACTATGTTAGTCCTAATTCAACACGAAAAAAAATATGAAAATATGTGCTTGTAAAATATCCTCAAAATAGCATCATTTTGCAACTTAAAAAAATTTATCTTTAATTTGTTTTTATATTTTATTGGTAATAATTTATCTTTATTGTATATTAATAGTGTTGACTAAGGGGTATGAAAGTTTTTTTAAATTAAAATATATTATTTTTATTCATATAGTATTTACAATTAAAATTAAAAAAAGTAAATTGCAATATATGTCCCTCTTTTAATTCTTTCTTTTTTTCACAGTTTAAATCATATCATTTAGAAAATCCAATATTTTGATGTAATATTCAATTTGTATACATGTATACTATTTTATTTTTATAACTTAATTAATTATATTAATTATTGATAATGCATGAATGTATTGGTCTACTATTTATAAGAGAAAAATAAAATAAGCAGAGACATGTGAAATTTGAAATTGGACGGAGGTTGTGGATTAAAATCACAAATCAAGAATTTAAGGAGACTAAACTTTCAATTTAACCAGTTCAAATCAAGATTTACGAAGACAATGATAAAATATATTTTTAATTTGATATAATGTATAATTTTTAAATGTAAGGTAATTTTAAGTTAGAAATCAAGTTTAATTAATTTAAATAAATATAATATTTAAATGGAATAAAACTAAATTAGATAGTCAATATAAGAAGTCAGGTGGTTTAAAAAGAAAAAAAAAATAGTCCCTAAAAACATTACCCTATGAAATAAGATTCAAGATTTGTGATATAAAGATAAATATTTTTCGCATATCATGTGATTGAAAAATTTAGTAATTTAAGAGAAATCATGTTGTGAATTAAATAAAAAAAGCAGAAGTTGTAACCGTGATTGCGAAGGAAGAGATTGCCTTGCATATTTGTCAAGAATGAAAAGGTTGAAATAGTGGAAAAAGGTGCATGTGGGTTGTGGGGGGAAAGGATGATTCCTTGGAATCTACTAAGAATCGTCCATGGAATAGAAAAAGTGTGCATTCGTGAGTATTAATTAAAGTAGAGATATATGGGAGTTTGGCAATTGTGAAAGTACCCAAATGGGGAATATCTTTGAGAAAAATGCTTTGTTCATTTATATTATTCATGAAGTGGATCATCACCCAAATTTCATTGGGTCACGCTGGTGGGTTTGTTTTGGGGGCATGAGTGGCAAAATCATAGGATTTGGCACTTTTTGTCGTATTGGGTTTGGATTATTTGGGTTCTTAATTTCCTAGCATGTGGTGCCTCTTGGCTCTACCATGACAAAGTTAGTTGATTACCATATACTTACAATCACTACCAAACATTGTTATGGCTTTCTCTACCAAACGATGGGAATGGTTAAAATAAATGGAGAGAACTAGTGTGCACTTTTTTCTTTAAATAAATAGAGAGGCTCTACTTGGTTGTTAAAAACTAGGGCATGAAGAAGCCTAAAGAAAACCAAAGTCTTGAGAGAGTTTGGTTAGTTTTTAAGCTAATGGGAGATGATTAACAAGAGTTTATTGGGAGAGTTAGAATTGAAGCTTTGTGATACATTATGATGATCAAAACGTAAATAGTTTTTATTATTACGAAAAGGTGTATCTTGTAATGGTTTATTGCATTGGATACTAATTGAAAGAGTTCAAAAGCACTTTCCCTTTTTTTTTCTTAGAATTTTTGAATTTATATTGAAATATAAAGCAGGTTGTAAACTTTTCATTGAAAAATATGTTGATAAATAAGAAAAAGTGTTGAGTCTTTCTCACTTATAAGTTACTCATCTTTTTTATTTTTATCTAATATGTGACTTCAAACTCACATTTGAATTCTCAACATCTTCTTCTCACGGTTCAATTTAACGGGACTCACTTGTCTGAAAGACTTTTCAAGAGTACTTTTGATGTGGGACTTCAAACTCACATTTGACATTAGATTATGAGTCTTTCTCACTTATATATTACTCAACTTTTTCATTTCTAGCCAATGTGAGACTTCAAACTCACATTTAAATTATTCCTCTCAAGTGTGATTCCCTTTTACATTGATAATCTTGCTTGTACCGCTGTTCAACTTAATGAGACTCACTTACCTGAAATCCTTGTCAAAAATACTTTCGACACAAATTACTAGATGAATCATCGATTCTGATACCACTAGTGGGTATTTCTGAGGGGCTAATAATAGGAAGATTCTCACAAATGGATCATGAATCAATTATATAAGAAAATATGACACTACCTTTAACAAAAAATCTTAAGATATTATGTTATGGGTCTTTCTAATTTATAAGTTATTCAACTTTCTCATTTTTACTTAATATAAGACTTCTAGCAAAAAACGAATTGCACTAAAGGAAATTATTAAAAATTAAAATGAACTAAGTAATTTATTTTAAAAAATAACTGAAATGTTGTTTAATTCTCTAAATTGTTTTGAACTATTTCAAATTAAACTGTCCTTCAAATTGTACTAAATTATTTTGGAGTGATCCCTCGTTAATCCAACAATGGACCCATTTTACGTTTGGTTTCATATTTTTTAGCTTCACACCAAGAGTTATTTGTCCATAGTGCAACCATTAAAAGTACAACCACTGAACAAAAAATAAAATCTTTTGGACTTTTAAAAGGTAAAACGTACATCTCCAAAAATCAAATCCAAAATAATAAGTCTCTTTCCTCCGCACCTCATAGTTTCTTTTTAAATCCTCATATTTACTTAGAAAAACAATAGCATTCTTGTCCGTTTTAATATTTTGAAATGTATATATAAAAAAAAACTTCAAAGTGATGAATTAGGAACTGGATTAAACAATTTACAGTATATAAAATGATTTTCAAGATTGATTGAGGAATAAAATAATTTTAAAGTAATCTATAAACTTTTTTATCTTAAAATTTTTTTGGATAAAAAGATCCGAATATTCAATTACACAATACTGTAAAATTTCGGACGAGACACAATACTGTTTCAATTAACTTTGTAGTTCAATTTGAATTGCTTCAACTGCAAAGAAATTGAATAATGATAATAATAATAATAAATAAATAAAAATAAAATTTTATGATTTTTATTAGTTTTATATTATTTATTTTTATTATTATTATTAAAAATAAAATTAATATTAAATATTATTAATATTATTTAGTATTTTTATAAAAAAAATTATTATTATGATTGGAATGAATTACAATTGAAATAATTACAAATTGAATTGAAGTGCATATTCAAGTGCACAAATCTGAAATATGTTTTTTACTTAATACTTTGAATACTTGTAACCGAAAAAATTTCAGAAAAATTTGAATTTTTTTTAATAAATTTCTAAATTTACCAATCTAAACATTTTCGGATTCACCTATTTTTAGTTTTATAAAATATTTGTTATATGACAGTTGTTTAATTCGAAACTTATATATTGTTTAATTTAAAACTTAAAATTATATTATAAGTCTAAAATGATCGAATATCCAAATTTTACATATGGCAAATTTTAAAATACTAAATAAGTTTAGATAATATGATTTTTGTACTAAATATAAAATGCAAATAAAAAACTATAAAACATAATAAAGAGCTAATAAAACTTTTATAACGGTTCAAATCTACGAGAATCTATCTACAATTCAGATAACTAATGATTCACTAAATTCTTAAATTTCAAATTACATACACTGCACATGAATTTACTCTTTCTTGGAAACCTGTCACAAAATAAAACTATATAGAAACATACTTACACTAACATACCACAAATAAAATTACAAACAAATATAGAAATATACAACACTAACATACCAAACATGGTGCTTATAGAAAGGGTGCTTTTTCGCATTCAACACTCCCGTTCTGCAACATGAATAATAATAAAATAATAAATAACAATATTATAATAAAATATGTAAGAAGAAATGAAGTTTTCAACATATAAAGTTTCTCTTATAAGAAATTTCTAAAAAATATATTTGTAGACATATAACTTGTTAAATGAGAAAATAAATCAATAATAAAACACTAACCGATCGATGAGTAATATAGAAACAGTTTGTAACAATAACAATTATTTGATAATAATAAATTTAAGGATTTTATTTATAAAAAAACATATAGAATTTAAGGATTTTATTTTTTATTTTTCTAATATTTTAATACAGTGAATAATCAATTTCAATTGAAAAATATTTTATTAATTGCATTTTCTCTTCACAGTGAAATTGAATATTTGATGGGGGAAGGGAAGCATGGTTGACACATTGTTTTATCAATTTCATTGATTATTGATTATTTAATTGAAATTTATGTATTTCTTTTGATTAATCAATCATGATTGCTTTCGTTGTTTCTGAATGCAAATTTTGTTTTTTGTTGCCTATAGTTAATGGAGAGAAATATCTTATGAAAGTTTGCTGCTATAATTTTGATAGGAGAATGTCGGTTGCAGTGTCATAGGATTATTGAATTAAATTTTATATATTTTCTTTATCACTAATAATGTAATGAGTCATATATGCTTTCATTGCAAATTTATTACTGCACATTAATCATGAATGGGTTACTAGCACATTAGGATTGGTAAATGGTAAAGCGAAAATCTTATAAATATTTTTAATGAATTAATCTAACAAAAACGAGAAAGTTTAATTTCACCTTATGATCTTGATTTTATTATATTGGAAGTGAATTATCTTTCTATTACTAATTCTTTCTATTACTAATTCTAAACTCGTTACAAAGTTTGATAAAGATTTAACTCATTCCGTTTAATGTTTATGAGGACAACTAATACCGATAGTATTAATACAAATTTTCCAAAAATTGAAAATGATAAAGAGTTTATGGATTTAGTGGGAGGGTTAACTCAAACTAATTTAGAATGATTTAGAACTAAAACAAATAGAAACAATTTTATATGTATTTGTGGTTGGGAGTATTATGTATGCTCAAATTTTTATTCAATAAGACAAAAGCTTTGCAACGGGAATGTTAAAAATATATCAAAGTGATCTACAAATGCAACATTTGAAATCTCGAAAGAAAAGTTTTGAGATACTTACAAATTTATGTACAGGAGATCTTATCATCTTGAAATGATTGGATATTTGATTTTGTTGGATGTGTGGATATAAGAAAATTCACTCTTGATTATGTATTTTTTTTAGCTAAAAGAAGAATATCATAGAAAAGTGCAAAACAATTTATTGTTGTTGCATCAATAATGGAAACTAAATTTGTAGTATATTTTGAGGCTAATTGACTACAAAACTTTATTTCAAGGCTTAAAATTGTCAATAATATTGTTAGACCACTAAAAATATATTGTGATAACTCCATAATAAAGTATTTCTCTAAAATTGACTAGTGTTCTAAAATTGTCAAATACATGGAGTTAAACACTACAAAAAAAAACGCTTATTATCTACGGGTAAAATCCGTAGGTAATGACAAAAATCCGTAGGTAATGCACTCGCTGGAATTACCTACGGATTATAATCCGTAGGTAATGCACTTACCTTAACAAAATATTTTTATTTATTACAACCCCCTCCCTTATTTTTTATTATTACCTAGAACCCCCTCCCCTTTATATTATATTTTAATTATTTATTATATTTTCGAAACTTTGAATTATTATTAGATTAAGGGAATTGTCATTGGCAGGATTCGAACCCAAGCACTTCGAGTTGGAGGCTGATACTCCAACCACTAAGCTATTAGGTTATTTTGAAAATAATTTACAAATAAATTATATTTATATTTATCCGTGTAAATATATAAATATAAAATATATAAATATAAAATATATATAAATATAAAATATATATAAATATAAAATATATATAAATATAAAATATATATAAATATAAAATATATATAAATATAAAATATATATAAATATAAAATATATATAAATATAAAATATATATAAATATAAAATATATATAAATATAAAATATATATAAATATAAAATATATTTATATTTTGATATATTTATATATTTATATATTTATATATTTATATATTTATACATTTATATATTTGTATTTATATATTTATATATTTATATTTATATATTTATGTATTTATATATTTATGTATTTATATATTTATGTATTTATATATTTATATATTTATGTATTTATGTATTTATATATTTATGTATTTATGTATTTATGTATTTATATATTTATGCATTTATATATTTATGCATTTATATATTTATGCATTTATATATTTATGTATTTATATATTTAAATATTTATATATTTAAATATTTATATATTTAAATATTTAAATATTTATATATTTATGTATTTATGTATTTATGTATTTATATATTTGTGTATTTATATATTTTTATATTTATATATTTGTATATTTGTATATTTGTATATTTGTATATTTGTATATTTATATATTTATATATTTATATATTTATATATTTACATATTTACATATTTACATATTTATATATTTAGATATTTATATATTTATATTTATATATTTATATATTTATATATTTATATATTTTATATTTTATATTTATATATTTTATATTTATATATTTTATATTTATATATTTTATATTTATATATTTATATATTTATATATTTACACGAATTAATATAAGTATAATTTAGTTGTAAATTATTATTAGAATATCCTAATAGTTTAGTGGTTAAAGTATCAGTTTTCAATTTTAAGGTACTGGGTTCGATTCTTGCTAGTGACAATTTTTTTAGTTTAATATAATTTACCTACGGAATTATCCACGGATTACATTACCTACAGATAATATCCGTAGGTAATGGATAATTACCTACAGATAGAATTCCGTAGGTAATATCCGTAGGTAATGTACAATTTACCTACGGATTTTCATCCGTGGGTAATATCCGTAGGTAATGGATAATTACCTACGGATAGAATTCCGTAGGTAATATCCGTAGGTAATGTACAATTTACCTACGGATTTTCATCCGTGGGTAATATCCGTAGGTAATGTAAAATTTACCTACGGATTTTTATCCGTGGGTAATATCCGTAGGTAATGTAAAATTTACCTACGGATTTGTATCCGTAGGTAATATTCCGTAGGTAATAGGCTTTTTTTTGTAGTGAAAGGACCTTATAATAAAGGAAGAAGTTAACAAAACAAAGAGCGTCAATATAACATATTAGCACAAATATTTTGATAGCTAATCCTTTAACAAAAAGATTACCGTCCAAAACATTTATTGAACATGTTGAAAATATAAGTATTATTATTAGACTATTGACACTTTAAGTTCAATTATGATATGTTTCACATTACATGTTCTCTATGATTGCATGACTAATTTTGTTAGAGTAATGTAAACATATATTTTTTGAATAAAGACATTATGTTATGTTATGAGTTCTTAATTATGTTTATAACGAGAATAAGTCTAATTTTTGATATATGAAGGGACTATGTCAATTGAGTGATGTATAATCACTATTACTCAAATCAATTCTTATTTTTAATTATGAAGTTATGTTGTATCCAACTTAAAGAATGATATAGTTATTTAATACGTCTTATGTTTTATTTATTTATAATGTATATAATGTCACATGAACCAATTGAGAGAATGTAAGTTTATGTCTCATATGATAGGGATGTTACATGTTAAGAGAGAAATAAATAAATAAATAATAAAGGACTAAATGATAAATGCATAAAATAGAATCAATTTTATGATAATAATTATTTAATGGAATAACATTTTAAATAAGGATTCACATCTACTAATGTGAAACAAGGTCCCCTTTCTGAGTTAAACATATACTCTCTATATTTTTATCCATTGGAGGAAGAGATTTATATGGAGCAAACTGAAAGTTTCATAATCAAAGGTAAAGAGAAACTTGTTTGCAAAATGAAGAGGAGCTTGTATGGACTTAAATAAGCTCTAATGCAATGGTATAAGAAGTTTTTTATTTCTTTATGATATAGATCACGAGTATGATAAAACCTCTCTTGATAATTGTGATTTTTTATCCCAACCCAACGCACTTTGTGTGAAGTCTTGAGTCATTATTAGCTTGAGCAGGTGGTTATTGGAGCTACTCCCCGTGCTTCCCCCAAATTTTCTTCACCATCTTGTGCTTGCACTTCCCTCTCCCTTGCCGTGCTTGCACACCTTACCGTGGCTGCACATGTTGTCATGCTTGCACCCCATTTTTTGTTTGCACCTCCCCTCACATTACACCTACCCAAACTTTCTTTGCCATGCCGTGTTTGGCCCCATTTTTTATTTGCCCGATTCATACCTAGCGATGCCAAACTTGGCACCATGCGATGTTTCCATTTGCTTGCTTGTCATTGGCAAGTGGGGGGGTGGTTCGCTTATTGGTATTTTGTTTGGCGACCATGAGAGTGTGTGAGTGGTTATAAGGATGTTTTTTGTTGGTTGGATCCATGCTTGTGCATCGAACTTCTGACATGCATTCTCATCATTTATGATCACCCTTTGACCTTTGTTTGCCTTGGGTGATTATGCTCAGTCGGTCCTTGTGTTGCCTACCTACCAAATGGTATACTTGTGGTTAGTCCTAAATATTTCCGTCTAGGATGCTTTCTTGGACTCGGGGAAGATCCTAAGGTCTCACATGTGAGCCACCACCTTAGTAGCTCCTTCTTGGTGGCATACGTGTTGAGATCGTTCTTTTGGGTATGGTGGAATGGAGATAGGTGATTGTCCCATGCTATTCTTGGTTATCAACAATGAATGACGGTTGCCCTGGTGTTGATCACGACCAGTGATCACGATCTTTGTCGTGTTCGATGTCATGCGGCACGGTCAATGATGAATGTTACCTGGTTGATCCTGCCAGTAGTCATATGCTTGTCTCGAAGATTAAGTCATGCATGTGTAAGTATGAACTAATTCAGATCATGAACTGTGAATAACTCATTAAATCAGTTATAGTTTATTTGATGGTATCTACTACTATGATAACCGTAGTAATTCTAGAGCTAATACATACGACAAACCTTGACGTCTGGAAGAGATACATTTTTTAGATAAAGGTCGACGTAGGCTCTGCTTGTTGCTTTGATGATTCCTGATAACTCGTCGAATTGCATGACCCTTGTGCTAGCAATGCATCATTCAAATTTCTACGCAACTTTTGATGGTAGGATAGTGACCTACCATGGTGGTGACAGGTGACGGAGAATTTGGGTTCGATTCTGGAGAGAGAGCCTCAGAAATGGCTACCACATACAAGGAAGGCAGTAGGTGCGCAAATTACCCAATTCTGACACGAGGAGGAGGTGACAATAAATAACAATACTGGGCTCATTGAGTTTGGTTATTGGAATGAGTACAATCTAAATCTCTTAACGAGAATCTATTGGAGGACAAGTCTAGTTCCAATAGCCACGATAATTCCAACTCCAATAGCGTATAGTTAAGTTATTGCAGTTAAAAAGCTCATAATAGGACCTTGGATTGAGTCGATCGGTCCATTTCTAGTGTGCACTAGTCGACTCGTCCCTTCTATCGGGGTTGTGCTCCTGACCTTAACTAGTTGGGTCGTGCCTCCTGGCTTTCGGGATCAAAGTAATGATTAACAGGGACAGGGATAGTCAGGAGCATTTGTATTTCAAGTCAGAGGTGGAATTCTTTGATTTATGAAAGACGAACAACTGTAAAAACATTTGCTTATGATGTTTTTATTAATCAAGAAAAAGTTAAATACATATACCATCCTAGTCACACTAAGTTTGACTTGATTTCAGAGATAGGGAATTTATTTATAAGCTCAATAGAAGGCCTCAGGAGGAGTTTAGCTCTTTATTTGAAGAAGTACAAATTGAATTTTTCATTTTTATGATATCAATCCTTAAGCTCCAACTCCTTGATAAAGCTACCTCTCCCTCTACCTGTGGCTACACTGCTTTGTCGAATTGAAGCCTTGATTTTTGTCTGTTGTGAAAAAATATTTTCATATTCATTACTTAACATAAATTAGGGCAGACCTTGGTGCAACAGTAAGGTTGCTGCCTTGTGACCTTACTCATGGTTCACGGGTTCAAGCCCAGGAAACAGCTTTTCTGCTTCTTGGGGTAAGGTCAAGTTATGTACGTCTACCATCCTCAACCCTTACTAACAGGAGCCCTGTGCATTGGTTTTAATTTTTATTCTTTACTTCATAGATAACTATTAACAATTACCTCCTCTTCCATTGTGCCATTGCTAGGGTATAAAGTGAAGAAAAAGTTAGTTAGATAGTTAGCATACTAATGAGTTAGGTAGTTGCTTGAAGTGTTATTTAGATTTGCTTGAGGTGTTATTTAGATATAAATGGGGTTAGAAGGATAGGAGAAGGGAGTCACTTTTTGTTAGATAAAAAACTGGACTGATTCCAGTGTCATAAGAGTAGTCTCCTTTGTGTACTTGTTTTCTTACGCATTCAATAAAATTGAGGGACGAATGAAGCCCTTTCTTCTCTTGTTGATTCAGAAGTCCTAACAGCCATGGTATGTTTGCTTCTCAATTCCAACATATATTAGCTAGGAATCTTTTTTAAGGGCTTTTATTAAGCTTAGGTTCTGAAGCCAGTGAAGGAATTTCAATTTCTTCATTGATATGTAATCTTATCCTGCCCTAGTCTATTCCTTCTCTCCTTAACAGCTGGGGAGGATTGAGTAGTGATTGTTAGAAAAAGAGGTAGGCAGTAATTATGGAATCAATATTCTTGTATTTATCAGTGGAGTAATACATTGGTATTCATGGAATCAATATTCTTGTATTTATCAGTGGAGTAATACATTGGTATTTATGGAATAATAATTTCTACATATTCTGACAGTATCCAAAATTTATAACTTGGACTGTTAATACAATAGATTTAGGATTGAGGCCGATACAATCTTTTTGAGTTTCCCCAAATGGCTAGCCTAGCCTTACATAATTGGTTTGTAAGATGAGGGTTGTTCAAGTTTTATAAGCACATATTAGGCCTTATCTTTAGTTAATGTGGGACAAAAGCACAACCCTTCATACCCTGTACAATTAAGGTGCTCCAAAGAGCCTGCAATTAAGGTAGGCTTCGGGGTGACCACAATTAAGGCAGCTCTCTAGCATGATGCTAACTTTGAATATGTGATGCAGTACACTACCACCTATATAATTTTATTTATTTATTTATTTTTTATTTTTTAATCTACATTATAAGCAAACTAACTTTATCCCACTAGGTGGAATCAGCTTCAATTTCTAAATGACAATATTGGGCTCTATGTGGTAGTTAAAGCAACATGGAGGGTTGTAATTTATGGAATACATGCTAATGTTTTCTCTATCTCATGGTTGTTCTCTTTGAGGATGATTTATATTTTTGTTTGATTTTGGTTATAAATTTCTGTTGTTTCTGTCGAACTGCAGGTGTTGTTGTCACTGAATGGAATTGAAAATGACAATATTCGACTCTTATCTAAAGCAAAGTAAGCCGTGCTTTCACAATTACTCATGACATCTCTTTTATCTGAAATCATCTCTCAAACAATGATGGTAACTTCTGGGGTTCTTTCGTTCTGCAGATATATTTCTGGAAACAATAAAAACGTTATGTGGAATGTTACTATTGTTAATGTTTCTGTCATTTTTCCTTGGAGAAATTCAGCATCAGAATATAGCAACTTGGTAACTTCTCTATGTTACCAAACTAAATATAGTGTCCAATATTATCTGATGACATCAATGTACTAATTAGTTTAATTGAAATATAAAAGGTATGCAATATTTTCTTGCACTGAGTAGCAGTGCCAATTGAATCCATTTATTCACTAACCTTCCAACCAATCTACCAAATCATTAAAATAAAACGTTTAATAGATTGGATCAACAAATATTTCTAGATGATTTATTATTGAGTTTCAGACCGAGAGAGAGAAAGATCTTTTGAGATAAGTGTCTGAAAGTAGTGTAAAATGAATTCAACCCATGTACACTGAGTTACGTCAGGTATATATAGTTTCAGAGATTAGAAACACTAGCTTCTAACACACTGTAAGTAACTCTATTTTAGTGATTACAGATATTAGAGATCCTACTGAACCACTGTTGTACAAGTAAAGGAAAAGTGGAGAGTAAAACTTTACTCCAATATCTATTTCTTAAGAACCCTGCATCATGTTGTTTAAGTCATTACGTCAAGATATTGGATTAATGGTTTATTCTTTGTCCACCTAGCCTCCTTAACTTAACTGAAAAATTATCCAAACCACGTATTTTACACTTCTATTGGTTTGTTAGTACAGTTTGTCATAAAAGAGTGACTCATTGTATTTTTGGTTTTTATGCTGTCATGTAGTGTATTTTGTTGGAGTGAAATGCTTTCACTGATATTGCTTAAATATCTAATTCCTTTCTCTATTTATGACATATTAGTGTATCCTTGTTATCATTAGCAATCATATAATTGCAAAAAAAATTATTAGATTAGTAGTTCAGTATTTATTCCCTGTTGGTAGCTAATGAAAGGATCATTTATGTTGAGAGCGACTACTAAAACAAAGATTTGCAATGATTTTAACAATTTCAACCGGGAGATGGTTGACCACATGTAGCATGCAGATATTAAATACGGACTATCCCATAGACCGTTCTTCTTCCTCCTCTGTTTTCTTTGTTTTCATATCAGTTCTTATATTTCATTAATTCAAAGCTACATATTCTGAATCTTAAAATATAGAAGTTGTTGCTCTTCACGAGTTCTTATTCAGTTGTCATATCATTTCCCTAAACACTCCTGGTAGGTTCCTTAATCATCTCCTTTTTGTATTCAAAGCAAGAATTTAAGATTGAAAGTGGTTAAAATACAAGAGCTTTGTATAACTATGGCATCTTTGAAACAAAAAAGCAGGTAAATTACGAAATGAAACATGTAACAGAATATGCCAATCATTCTGTGGATCAACCTAAGACTCCCAAAAGCTAAGTTTTACTGCTTGTCCCAAATGAACTCTTGAGGCAGCACACAACAAATAAAACTATAGCATTTCTTTCCAACCATATGCACCAAAGAACTTCCATCTCGCAACAACATTGAAGTGTTTTAGTATTTATATTGTTGCAAATCCTCTAGAACTACAGATAAAAATTCTTAAGATCCTTGTGGCAAGCAAACCCATTCTTTATGAAAAAGACCACAGCTGAGTGCAAAAATTGGACGAGAAACATTCTCCAACCTTGATCTCCTGACAACATAGTAATCAAGAGATAACATAGTTATCCATCCTTTTTATTGTGTTAACTATTTGATTGCTTCTTGTTACTTCAGATCACCATGATAAATTCTGACCAGTCAAAAAGAATTTCTATTGTTGAGAAATTTAGTGTTTCTCTCTTCCTGGCATTTTGCATGATCCCAGATGAGTCCATTCCGAAGCAGTTAGAGGTGATTACTTTCAGATATGAACTAAAATAACTTGAACATGCATTTAACACAAATTTGTCTCCCATGCAGTAATTTTCTGTTCTTTTTCTTCCCCTGCACCCCTGCTTTCTTGATTCTTTATACTTCTTAATGTCAGGTTTATGTACTTATTGAATCACTTAAAGCACACTTCTCGCCTTCGATAAATGGTTCACTCATAGAATTGTTGAACCATATGGGCACATTGCTTGTAATGGGTAAATTGGGGGTCTTAAACTCCTCTCATCCTCCCAATATTGATTGGGTTGTGCCAACATATTCTACTTTTGGCATATCCATTGTTTCAAAAATTGATTTGGTTGATCTTGAAGTTGACCTTGAATATTGTGGAGATAGCAGCTCAAAACTCATGGTTTCCTTACAAAAAATGGTCTTAAGGTAGGTTCAACATTATGTATTTGGCTGCCTTTCATGGGGACTATTGTTTACAATTTGACTTCAACTTGCAATTTGAAAAATCAGTTGCTAATTTCTTCTCACTTTTATATTAAATTGTGGTCTTTGAAACTTTTACTTTTTTATTTAGTACATTGTGTAAGCTGAGGCTATTCTTGTATCTGTCATTATTGTGCTTATTTTATGTGAAATCTACTTAATTGGTTAGGGCTCTGTCATGGTCTACGTTTTTCATTTTTGCTTCCAAGAACTCACCATCCATCTTTTCATGTGTTTACTGCTGAGACTGCATAGATCTTTCTTGACAGCTGTTAATGCTATGTAGTTTTGGTACTAGGGGTTATATGTACCTTCATTATATGGTTGAGGAATAAGTTTGAAAAGGCCCTTGATGGGAGGAAACTATGTGGAACCAAAAGTCAAAGTTTCAATGTGTTACCATAATTTGAGAGATCCTTATCAAGGAGTTGGAACTTGGTAATGAATGTTACAACTCATATTGGAGACATTACGAAAGAAATAATTTGCTTCAATTGACTAACTTTTGCACAGAGGAAAATCATTATATTTATAAATGCAAATTCAATGTAATTTTAAATTGACTTTCATTACAGTAAAATACTGGAATGGTTTAGGAAGCTATCAGTATTGAAGAGATCTCATCACCACAGTTTTACAGTACCTCTGGTCCTATATGTAAGTAAGAAAATACTTAATCAAAACCAATAAAAATATCAGTTGATTTTATTAAAAAATGTATTAATAGTTTTTAAAAAAATACTTAGCACTAAATGATTTTAGTTGTTATATATAATGACACTAGTATTCAAAGAATAATTTTTTCAACCAATAGGTGTCTTATATTATTAATAGCCCAATGAACGTACCCACTTGGGTGGGAAATGAGTGAGTGACTCATTAATAGACTTTATAATACTGGAGAAAATATTTGTGGAAAAATGCCTGCTGTATGAATTCATCCTCTCTGAAAGCAGAGTTGAACCCCTAATCACGTTCTTGGATTAGTAAATCAGCCCTAAGAATGTTTGAGTTCCATGATCCCATGTTTTATTTTCTAGTGGCTTTAGATTGGTTTATGTATATTTAAGATATTTGAGTACTAATGGAAATTTATCTTACCTCTTACACCCTCCACGAAGCAAATTATATATTTTGCCTAATTACAATTCTTGACATTTGCTTCACTGTTTGCAGGTATGTTTCTACAGAATTTGAGGAGTTTTTGGTCAGTATGAAGTCTTTAATCATCTGTGCTAATAAAATGAAAGCAGACATGTGCTTTTATCTGGGAATTTATCTTCTCCTGGTGCTACAGTTGGAGAAGACTGTGTTCCTGGACCAAATATTGAATTTGATCAATATTCTGATACGGCTATGCTAGCTGATTCATGTTTAATTATGCATTATGAATCTTCCAGAACTGATTTGGTTTGTCATAGGATTTTTATGTGCTTAAGTAACATTGATATCCACTGCTACCCTCATATTACTGGAGTGCTCATTGACTTCTTTCATAGGTTGTCTGCCTATACTAGCCGTTTTAATAAATCCTCTGCCAGTAATACTGTGGACTTTTCAAAAATATTCTCAAGGTTGGAGTGACAAAAATTTGGCTTCTCAAATTATTTTGAATTGTTTCCATTGACTCTGCTTGCATTCCAATTGACTGACTTCCATTTGTTACAATTCACAATTCTGGTTCTCTTGGTAATCTAGAGAGCACACTCATACCTGGCATTGCTGACTGGAGAAAATATTTTATTGTGAGAGGGACAGACAAATAGAAAATTTCAGCATAAATCTGAGAAGAGGGCCCAAAATTTTCCTAGTCTCTCCCCCAAAATCCAAATCTGATTTTGGATGTTTCCAAGAATCGGGGACTGGGGGCAACTGTGATATTTTCTATACTGAGTTGCACCTTTTTGGTGAAAGTGATCCTAGCAAAGATCTCAGTGATTTGATGAAGTCAAAGATAAAGTCAAAGGTCAACTCTGCAACAGTCAAACAAGTCACTCAGAAGAATGGAGCTGAAGACTTAGTGTGTCTAAACAGAAAGCTTAGGTAAAACCACTTTACCTTTTCCACTGCATAAAGCTTCTTCACTCAATTTGCAAAATGCCTCAAAAATAGTTTTAAACAAATCAAACAAAAGCATTTTGTCAAAAAACCTTCTTATAAAACTTTCCAAGTTATTTTAGCTGATATAAAGTCGTTTTAATCGATTGAAAATCTGCACATATATTTTCAAGTCATTTTAATCGATTGAAAGTTCGTTTTAATCGATTGAAAAAATTTTCTAAGTTATTTTAATCGATTGAAATACGTTTTAATCGATTGAAATAAGTCTGATCGGTCATAATTCAATTCTGATCGATCATAACCAACTCTGATCGGTCATAATTCAATTCTGATCGATCATAACCACTCTGATCGGTCATAATTTCATTCTGATCGATCATCCTGACCCTTTAAATGATTTTAATCGATTGAAACGTGTTTTAATCGATTTAAACAAGTTCTGATTGCTTATATATCAAATCTAATCGGTCATAATGATTTCTAAAGGGTTTTAATCGATTAAAAGAAGTTTGTATCGATTAAAATACTGTAAAAACAATTCTTTACGCATTCTTAGTGATTTTAATCGTTTCTTAAAAAAACTATATCAGTTAAAACCATTGTTAAGAAGGTTCTTTGACAAAATGCTTTTGTTTGATTTGTTTAAAACTATTTTTGAGGCATTTTGCAAATTGAGTGAAGAAGCTTTATGCAGTGGAAAAGGTAAAGTGGTTTTACCTAAGCTTTCGTTTAGACACACTAAGTCTTCGACTCCATTCTTCTCGAGTGACTTGTTTGACCGTTGCAGAGTTGACCTTTGACTTTATCTTTGACTTCATCAAATCACTGAGATCTTTGCTAGGATCACTTTCAGTCTCCCCTATTTGATGAAGACAAACACCATTTTGAAAAAACAATCTCTGCAAAATAAGTCACTTGATAATGCAGTTAGGTGAGAAATATAAGAATGTAATAAAGTTTTGTTTCTCCCCTAAAACTTATTTCTCCCCCTAAAATGTTGCACTTAAATTTATCTTAAAGTGATGCAACTATTTCTCCCCTTTTGACTTCATCAAAAATAGGGAAACAGAAGAGAAAAGAATAAAATGTAAGGTTTCGAAAAATATGCTCAAGTTTTTGAAAAAACAAAGTGAATCAATATTTCACTCATGAAAAGAATCAATTAAAGTTGATTCAAACTTATCTCCATTAACACGTTTGTAATGAATACAATTAACACGTGTAAAGATAAGGGAATCATGCTTTAGTAGCATGTTTACGTAAACTGACCATTAACTAAAGCCTTTAATCTTTCTTCCCGAATAAAAATCGATTAAAAACAGAGCATAATCGGTTAAAATGTTCTTGGTAAAAGATTTTAATCGATTGAAAGAAAAGTTTAATCGATTAAAACATTTAAGATTTTGAAAACATGAAACTTTAGTAAAAATAATCGATTATTTCAATTTTGAATCGATTAAAACATGTTGTATAAGTTCATTTAATCGATTAACAAGATGTTGTATTGATTAAAACAATCAGTTTTGAAAATGAAGTAATGTTTAATGCATATTTTGTAAAACTGATCATTTAGAAGGATGTTTTAACAATACTAACGACTATATTGATTAAATCTTAGCTAATAGATCCATCGGAATAAAATCTTATTTAGCTAAAGCTCTCGGGGATCTATTTAAATTCTATTTACGCCGATCTGATCTAGATTAGATCCTAAACCATATTTAACCAAAGCTAGATCAAGAGTCCCCGCTATAACACCAGCTTAATATTACGAGTCCATGCAAAAAATATAAAGATAGAAATAAGCAGAAGATAAAGATGATGAGGGGAACTAGTCATCCCAATTTCCCTGATTGAACTGCTTATCCACCAGCTTGGTGATCATTTTGATTCCCACCAATATCAAAAGATAATAGACTTTCCTTTTTGCTGGAACCAATTTTGCTCTATCAACTATTTGAGTCAACAACTCGTTGTCACTCCTGTATCAGCAACAGCATCACGTAAACTTTTCCTGAAAAGAAATCTTTTAGCAGTTCATCGTTACTATTGACTGCATTACAGTCCATGGTTGACACTCAATGGAATTAAATGTTTCTTTAGGAACATCAACTATTACACATCCGAGGCGTAATCATGTACTCGACGGACGTACATTCACTATCGGATTCCACACAGAGTGCACGATACCATAAATTGCATGAATCACAGATTAATGATGTACTCGAGATAGGAATTTCCTTTCAAAATAGCCAACCCATTTTGAACCCTGCAGTTATCATCATCCAAGCAAATAACCGTATTTTTATTAATGTAGTATGATGGGTGTTATTCTCACTTATAGTGAACCAGTCATCATTATCTTTTGAAGAATGAGTCATTTTTAACTTTGTTGTTTCCAAGTGGTATCATATGCACAAGTGATTAACAAAAAAACTTATTCCGGTAGAGTGGGCAATGATTAGTAATGAGGACAGGTGATGACAATCAATCCGAATTCTAAAACAATATAAAATTTATCCCTGTATCGACCATAAAACATACATTCCCTGTACCACGTTATTCAATTTTTGAATTGTCGTTCCAGATTGGTTCCCTTATAGTGTCACCTCGTGACATTGATGATTAACGCAAATTATCGTGGTTGCACAGTTCAATGAATTTCACCAAGAGTTTTAAACCAATGCATGCTCAAGATTATTTCGAAATATTGCTAGGTAATATCAAGAAATCTAATGTAAACATTTGTTCATTGAACTTCCTAGTAATCAACAATTTATTACCGTAATCAACTATCATTGAAAAAATCTTTGATAAACTATGTTTTCGAGTCCTAACAGCTTTGACTCGTTTGTAACTAGTGTCTATAAGAAAAGTTACAGTCAATTCTTTGATAATTTCTTTGATTTTCAGTGTATTACCATGCATCATTCCATGTAAAGTATTAAGAGAAATGTAAACATCTACAGTGAATTAATCGATTGTTTTATGAAAGAATCGATTTGTATGGTACAGAATGTAATAAAAAAAATATCACCAGTATTTAAATCGATTAAAAACATAAATGAATCGATTAATTTTGATCCTAAGTGTTTTTAGTTGATATAAATTTATTCTAATCGATTAAAACGACTAAACCAACATTGTGAGAACAATTTAATCGATTATTTCGATATTTCAATCGATTAAAATGGTACGGTAAGTTATTTCAATCGATTAATATTGGTTTATATCAATTAAAACAATTAATTTAAAAACACAGAACCTGGTTTCGCAGCTTCGATCTTCAAGGGATTCCCGGACTTGTTCCTGCAAAACAATTAAGTATTTTTCTGGTACCCTTTATAATTATTGGGTCCTGATCATGTTATTTGAAAAGAATTAATCTTTGGAACCCATTTCATTCTCCCTTTAGGAATGACATACTTTTTGATTCTGCAATTTTTAACAGAGTGCCCTTTTTTCATACAAGTAAAAGCATTTAATTACGAGTATGAATTCCTATTTGTTTTTGTTTTATTGGATCTAGATTTAAATCCTATTCCAGATTTGTCAAAAATTAATTTTTGAGATCCAAGTAATACATCTAGATTGGCTTGCCCTTGTGTGAATCTTGAAATAGTTTGAGATAGAAAGTTAACTTTCTTTTGCAATTCAGAACAGTTATTGCATGGTTTATTGCATTTACAATCAGAATTATCATGAATTAGTTTCAAGAATTCACGGTCAGTTTCATTTTCAAAAATTTGTTTTTCCAGAGAATCAACTTTATTTATTAGCCAGTTATTTAGCCCTTTCGACTCTACTATTTTCTTTTTGAAGTTTCTTAGCCTCTTCATGCATTTCATTAAATGATTCTTGTAATGCATCATAATTAACTATATTTGAAGAGGAGCTAGAACTTACCTGGCTGGAATTTTCTGGGCATTCTATCTTGACATGGCCACTGGTATTTGGTGATTCTCGAGTTGACCATTAAGCATATCTCTGGTGCTTCTTCATAGGTCTTTTCAAGGATTTTCCACATTTGTGCAAGCAGTTTGACAATGTGCAATCCTAAAAAAATCATTTCGTTAAGAGCGTAAGAGATGATATTTTTGGCAATACAATCATCTTGAATTCGTTAGCAATATCAGTTTCCTGTTCAATAACATTCCAAGCATTTATACTAACAGATTCAATGAAGATTTTCATCCTTAGTTTCCAGAATAGATAATCTGTTCCACACAACAGTGGAGGTCTATCAAGGTACGCTCCCTCATAAAATGCCATGGATCGAAGTAACTTGAGTAACTTTCAAGCACCTCGCTCTGATGCCAATTGGTATTTCAATCGATTAAAATAACTTAGAAAATCTTTTCAATCGATTAAAACGAACTTTCAATCGATTAAAATGACTTGAAAATATATGTGCAGATTTTCAATCGATTAAAACGACTTTATATCAGCTAAAATAACTTGGAAAGTTTTATAAGAAGGTTTTTAAACAAAACAATCGATTAATACGCGATTCAATCGATTGTTTTATACTTTGAAAATGTTTGTAAAACGTTTTAACTGATAAAAACGTGGTCGTATCAACTAAAACATTTTCTGTTAAAGATCAAGAATGCATTAATGGGTTGAAAGGACTTTTAACAGATTGTAACGGCTATTTCAACAGATTAAAACAAACTTTCAACAGATTAATTAATGCAGCAGATTTGAAAATACTCTTTTATAAACAGAATTGCTTGGAACTTTTAAAATATCAGTTTTTACACAATTCAAGCAATCAATACAAACAACTATTAGCATTTTTCAAGAAAGATACACAACTGTTTTTGTGAACTTCTTTTGAAATCTTTCTTGAGGCACTTTGCATCCTTGAAGAAGAAACTTACTGTGGATTGGTGTAATCCGGTTTGAGCTTTCTAAGTCTCTTCTTTGTAAATTCTTTTTCATTACTTTGTATTGTGTTGTACACTGGAATTTGGGTACAAGTTTTTTCTGCAACTGGTAGGTGGTTGTAGAAGTTTCCAAGAACTGGAATTTGGTTCTTGGTGGTTGAGTACAGGAACTGGAATTTGGTTCTTGTACTCGTTTGGTGCCTGGAATTTGGGCACTGGTTTCTCTGCGGCTGGAATTTGGTTGCAGAGGTTTCCAAGAACTGGAATTTGGTTCTTGGTGGAAAGGTTAAAGCAAGAGCTGGAATTTGGTTCTTGTGTGTGGTGCCTGGAATTTGGGCACTGGTTTCTCTGCGGCTGGAATTTGGTTGCAGAGGTTTCCAAGAGCTGGAATTTGGTTCTTGGTGGAGAGTTAGAATAGGTGTAAGAGTGTGAGTCTCGTAAAACATCTATTCTAGTGGAACCCAGCTGGAATTTGGCTGGAGACTGGACGTAGCCCTGGTTGTGGGTGAACCAGTATAAAATTACCGGTGAAATCTTTCCTAACCTTTCTCTCTTTAATTTCTGCTGCTGCACTTAAACTGTTTGATTGCTTTGTGATTTGTGAATTGATAAGTAAACTTAATTTTCGGATTAGATAATCTGTGTATTGCGAAAAACTTTCAAAAATCAATTCACCCCCCCTCTTGATTTAAAACTACTTTTCTAACATTTGGAATAAGAGCACATTTTCATGACTCATCATGCATTGTTGGGCCAATCGTGGTGCCTACATCCAACTCTTCTCTATTATTCTGTGAAGACAGTATGGATATATTGTCTTCTTCTGAAGGATTGGCTCTTACATCATCTTGGGCCCCGCAAAATTTTCAAGATTATCTATGGGGTCCCCCTTCACCAAATTTGTCTCCTATTTTAAATGTACGGGTCAGGAGAGGACACAATATGTCTGCAACTGCTGATTTAGAAATAAGCATTGGCATTCAGCATGTCAACTGCATGTTACCATCTGAATATCTTTCCATTATCATTGGTTACTTCTCATTATCTGATTGGAATGGTGCCTCTGGTGATCAATGTTCATCTGAAGAGCAGAGTGATATAGATGTTAAAAGTGAAATGAAAATTACATATAAATTTGAAATCTTGGACTCTAATCTTATGTTTCCAGTGGAAAGTAATCGACATCAGTTTATAAAGATTGAAATGTCATAGCTTTATTGTAGTTTCATTGATAATTCTGGTGTTGATGATGTATTAAAGAATATCCCTCCTGAATGTGCAGTTCCTATTGATAAGCTCGCCAAAAGAAACGATTGTCTAAATGTGTTTGAGCGAGACTTGTTCGTATCTTTCCTTCTTTACAAGAACGATTTACTTGGGGCTTAGCAACAATTGGATGGAATACAGAATTTCTAACCAGTGCTTTAATTGCACCCATAAATGCAGATATTGGGTTAGAATTCCATATGAAAGCAAATCTGATTGCAAAAGCACTTCATGAATATGTTTCATGACAAGCATCAAGAGTTGTCATATTGTTGCAGAACCCAATAATCTTATTCATGTACTTCACTACTTCAATATTTGTTGGATTGGTCATGTAATTGTAATAATGAATTTTCCTTCAATAACAGATTGATATTTTTTTGATGGATGTATGGCCATATGTGATGTTGTTGAGTAGTTTTCCTTGGTTGATGATCAAACCAAATATTTCAAGTCAGATGTTCTGCAATTCCTTCACTCAAAGAGAAGCTTAGAGGCAACTCAAACTATTTCTCCGACACTGATGGCCTCAACTATATTAACAAAAGTTAAATGTTGCACAGAATCTTTAGTTATAAGCTTCTGTGAAAGAAAAGAAGATTATGTGGAATTAATAGCCAAGGGTGATCTGGGGTTTATTTGTTCTGCATGCATAATAAATGAGTCCTTGGTATATTTAGATCTGCGTTTCTCTACCTTAGTGTTTTACTCTCCACATGATTCTGTTTTAGCAAAATGCAACCCGTCCTCCTTTTCCATTTCAGTACTTCCTGTCTCTTTTTCTCAATCTATTGATGGGAGAAATGAAGTTAGTATTTGTCCTTCTTCTTTTGATATTTGGCTTCATTTGGCTGAGTGGACCAAGGTTGTTAAATTCCTTAATAATTTCCATGTACATTCGGAAAAAGCCCCTGAGAAATCTATGACAAATAGTTTGTCCATGAATGCTTCTGAAAGCACCTCAGTACCTTATACCTCACAAGAGATTAAGGATGATCTCTTAATAATTAAGTCAGAAAATGTCTGTATTACATTTCATATCCCTGTTTGGATTGGCGAAGAAGCTTGTGTGGAATTACAGCATGCTGAAGGTCTCAACGTGACACCTTCAAGTGTATCCTCTGATATAGTAGAATTCAAAGATGCAAAATTTCTTACTGTTTCTTTCAACATGAATGGTTTTGAATTAATCATAAGAAGCATGGGTATCCAATTGAAGTCCATGATAGATAAACTAAGTGGTGTAATATTGATAGTTGAGAATGGAAGGCATAAATCTATGCCACTTTTTGATGTAATTGAGGTTGATGTGTATGTTGTACTATGTAAGAATCATACGAATGCCATCAAACTGAATGTGGAGATTCTATGTGATAATTCACATGTATGAATTTCGCATCCTGCCATTCATTTATTTGGAGCTGTAAAATTTTATGTTCCAGAATCAGGATCTTCTCAACATTCAACCGATGGCTTTACCTTCAAATTCCGCATGAGGAAGGTTTCTATTCTACTAACAGATGGAAGGGTATGTTGATACCATCTTATACTACTTGTCAAGCTGGCATTTCATTTTACTGACACTTAGTTCATCAATTTCTAGTTGCTTTGATTTTTCCATTTTGGCTTACCAGTCTAAATGTTATTTCCTATACATAGATCTCTTAACTTTTTAACTTTCGCTGAATGATACTACTGATTGAAAATGAACCATGGTGCCAAACAGAGTTGATCTATTTGGCCCGAAAAACAAAGTGTTTTTTTGTTCCTTGTAGTGGAGCTATAATGGGCCTGAGCTTGAAATTATTGTCAGAGACATCTTGTTTCATACAATTTCAAGTGGAAAGCACATAGAATGTTCTGTCAACGGTGACATTCAAGTAAACTACAATAACATAGAAAAGGTGTATTCAGTAAAAATTCTCCTTGATACATACAGTTGTTACTATTTTAGTCATTTTGCATACAATAGTAAATCGTACTATTCATCAAATATATACAGAAAGTAATATGTGAAGTTGTAGAGTGTCAATATATTATGCAAAACATAAAATTCACTTAATTTCCACATAAATATAAATATCGCAAGGTACTTAAGCAAGTCTATTCAATCTGTTGTGAGGTCCAGATACAATTTGCATATTTCTAATAACATAATATACATAACTACTGATACAAATTAATATAGGCATCTCACTTGTGCCAACAAATAGTACTTCTACCTTATAATCCTTTTTTAGTGAAGATGGTTCAAGAAAAGCTACTTACTAACTAAAACCCTACCCACAAGCTAGATCTTCAGTACAGTGCAGATTATGCAGTAGCAGTCCTCAAACCTCATCTAAGAATAGATACAACATTCCATTAAGCAATTTGCAAAGTGATAGATATGTCGCTGTGACACAATTCAGCCAGTGCAGTAAGAACTCTAAATTTATGAAGATCATGCCCTATGTAAGCATACTTACAAACAAAACAAGTGAAATAAACTAGTAAAATCAATAAGGAACTAACATTTTGGCCTATTTCTCAATTGGCATTTTACCCTTGACATTATGTTGTTGCATCACTGCGATGTACTCGCGGAGTCTCTCAGCCTTTTGAGTCATTGAACCAATCATCTCTTCAGTTTCATCTATTATCTGTTTGGGCAAGTGAAATTCCAAAAAATCAAACCACTCACCAAGCGTCATCTTATTCAAATCAAGCCAATTCCCATCATCTTCATTCAAATTCCCCTTTTCTTTCCCATCACAAGCCTCTTTCACACCATTCCTATCTTCACCCTCTTTATCCAATTCCCTCTTTCCAGCAACACCCCTCTTTGTCTTTTTCTCAACATTCTCAATATTCGCAGTTACCCCACGCGTGTTCTTCCTATGCCGTATCCCGCGCGCGTTCTTCGGCTCCTTCACCACCGAAGCATCTAAATTCTCATCATTAGAATCAGAAATCTCAAACAAATTTGGATTCCCCGTTATCTTTGGCTCCTCCACCTTCTCCTCCGCACGAATCAAATTTTCAACACTCGATTCCTTAACCACGCTCCGTTCTCTGTTCGACTTCCGCTTAACCCTCGCGGGAGGATCCACGCGCTCATATTCTACGTTCACTACACTAGCGTCCTTTTCATCAACACTCTGAACCTGAACCTGAACCTTATCCATACCCATCACTCTTCTACCTCTAGGGCGGCCGCGTGGCCTAGCCGGTTCAGAAGGAGCCACTGGAACCGAGGCCGGAACCGGAGCGGTTCGACCGCGGCGCGAGGGGTTTCGTCGAGGTGGGAGAGTGTGTTGCTGTTGTTGGGGAGGGAGAAAGATGACGTGGATGGAGGTGAATTCTCCGATTTTGATGGAGGAGTCGTGGTGAAGGGGGAAAGGAGTGTTCGGGGGAATCCGGGAGGCGTCCAAAGCGGTGCCGTTTGAAGAGTCTAGGTCGCGGAGGATCCATTTGGCGGATTCGTTGAGAATGGAGAGGTGTTTCGAGGAGATGCCGGGGTCCTTGATGGGGAGGGTGTTGCCCTTCACAACGCGTCCGATTCGAACAGCGGATCCTGGTTTGAAATCTAGGGTTTCGCCTTGGCGAGGGCCTTGCAGGATTTCCAATCGCAGAATTGGAGCTTCTTCTTCTTCCATTTCAAAGTGGCTAAGTGATTCAGTGACCGTTGCCAAGTCCGAATGTGCAGAAAGAAAAACACTTACGACCTTCTCCACCCGCCCACACAATAACTTCAAAATTATTCAAACCTTCATTTCAAATATTCAATTTTCGTTCCATGTTATACTTAATGTTATTAATATATAAATTAATTGGATTAATTCTTAATTTCGTCTCACTGATTATTATTTTTTTCATTGATTATTATTTTTCATTGATTATTATTTTTTCAATGTCCTACTTAATATCTAAAGTTTCAATTTGATCTAGTTAATTTTAGAAAACTTCAGCATATTTATTTTTATAAAATTTGTTAACTTTATTAATAAATTTATAATAGCTTATATTATGTTTGACAATGAAAGTGAAAAAATAGAGTACTTTTTTTATTAAAATTTTAAAAAATAAATAAGAAATAGGTGGATATAAAAATTATTTGGCGGAAGAGAAATATATATAAAAGAAAATATTATTTGGTTGAAAATGTAATAAAAAATATGTATTTCAAATTATATTTATTTTAAAAAATAAATAATTTATTATTATTATTATTATATTTATAAAATAATGATTTCAGAAGCATTAATGATTAATGAATGATCATTAACTTGAATTAAAATAGGGATAAGTATATTTTTAATATATATATTTTTTTCAACTTATTTTTAGTGTTTATAGTTTCAAAATAATTAATTCATGGATTGTGGTTGTCGTATTCCTAGCTTAGAAAGCATGTATAACACAATTTGGCATAATAATCCTCCAATCTATTATCGATCATGGGAGCTAATATATACCATTAGGCTACCACTCATGATATTATCATAAATATGGATTCATATGGATCCATAGTTAACTACACGTGTCAAAACAGTTAAAATAACGCATAAAAAAAACAGTATAATGTATTCATATAGTTAGCCACGGACAATATCCATACAGTTACCGAACACGCTTATTATAGCCTAGACCCGTAGAAATAGAAATCTACTAACAAGATTCAAACACGGTAGTATAAATAAGACGTGAACTCTCATGTAGAGATAAGAAAATTAACAGTAAATATGGTTTTATAACATTAAGAGTGATAGAGTATTTTTTGCTGTTACATAGAGAAATCGAGAAGAAATAAAGAAAATATTGAAAATAACTTATGAAGATATATAGTTGTTGAGAAATCAATAAAGATAATATATCTATTGATAAAATATTATTGGAGAAAGTAAAAGGGAATTGAAGAGACCATCATAAATCAATCTAGAAAAACAAAGATCGAGAAATAATTATGCAATTGAGAAAGATAAGGATTATAAGAAATAATACAATTGAGATATATGCATAAATAATTATAACCCACCATCTGATATAGATAATTACAAGTGTTACATAATAATGAAACTACTTAAGAAAAGAAAAAAATGGTTATAGAAAAAGAAACTATTTTATATTTTATTTTATTTAATTTTCTTAACACTTACACAAAATAAAATATAAATAAGATCGAATAAGTGTAATTAAGGGTGACAAATTGTATTAAGATACTTCCATTTTGAGAAGATATTATTTTAATAGAGTTTTTGATAATTTGAGTCACCATTTTCATTAAATTTATTTATTAATTTCTTTTTTATCCTTAATAATGAATTAAATTCACTTTTCTAATAATTTACTCTTTGTGCACAAATACTTTTCTTGCAATTTACTTTTTTTTTGCACGACAATAAATTACATTTACTCTTCCTATACATTTACATTTCAAATCCAAAAATCATAATTTATAATAAAGAACTAAGTGATTGTGGACAAAATTTAATTGGAAAACTTTTTTAAATTAATTTTTTTTTACTTATTAATCTAAATAAAAGAACCTACTAAACTGATTCATCTTAAAATATTGATTAATCTTAAAATAAAGTAATATATCTAAAAATAATTAAGCAAATCGAACCAATTTATATCATAAAGTATGATTTTAGATTTTTGAAAGATGAAAGATTCACTCGTCATCACTGAAAATAAATTAGTTACATATTGTTTATTGATTCATCCTGACAAGTGAAAATATTGTTGAAATTTAGAGAATGAATCTTTAGTATATAATATATTATTTTCAAGATTTTGCATTAAAAGAAGTATTAAGATCTTCATCGAGTTATTATACAAGAAGTCTCAATATTTAAAAAATAATAATAATAATAATAAAAAAAATAAAGAAATTGTATTGATTAAACTTCATGTCCTAACTTTTAAAGTTATCAAAATCTCAGCTACCATTAATCCAATGAGCTAAATCTTCTTTCTTACATGACACTAAGAGGCTAATATAAAATTATATTTATAATAATGTTATTTATTTTTTAGAAAACTATTACTTGAAAAATGTAAGGTTCATGTTTACATGCTAAATTATTATTATTCTGTATCATATGGTCAGTAACGAGGGAGGAAATAATGTACGGATCATCGTCCCCTAAACATTTTAGTCTTATTAGTTAATATTAATATGTTATTTGTAATTTTATTTTATTAATTAAATAAAATAAGTATATTTCATTTTGATTCCTTTTAAATAAAATGGTGGCTTTTACTCATCAAACACTAAAAAGAATTTGACAAAAGAGTTATTTAAAAACTACAAAAATTATTTAATCTATAATGGTAGAATCCCCATTATTATTTTAAAATAAAGAAAAAAATAATTACTTGTAAACTTTATTTGGAAAAAGATTGAACCTAGAGTTCTCCTGTTTTCAATTATTTAAAATAACTCATTTAGTTTTTATAAAACAAAATGTAATATTAATCATATTTAAATAAATAGATGTTATTAATTATTAAAACTAATTAGATCAAATCAAATAAATGACAAATTTTTTCCCCAAAACCATTTCTTTTGTAAAAGATAAAATATCATACATTATTCCATAATAATGATATTTCATAAAATTGTTATTTCAAAATCTATTTTTATTTATATTATCATTAAATTTATTTTTTATCCATGAAATTGAATATACTTATTATAATTTTATTTTAATTGAATACATTCATTGATTATGTATGATTATATAAGAATTATTATAATTTATTGATATTTATATTAGTTATAAGTATTATTTATTTATATTTCATATTAGTATTATGACTATCATGAGACTTGTTTCACAACTTTTCAAAAGTCTTCCTTAAAAACCTCGATTAAGTGCTATTTTGCAACCCTAAGTTGTTCCTTTATAGTTTGAAACTTGACATCTCGGTTTGTGGCTCAACAACCTTAGTCTTAGCAACAAGGTTTTGCTTTGTAACATCTTAACCTTAATCTTGATCTTATCACAATTTTCTTTGCCTCCTCATTCATCTTTGTCAAAGATAAAATTTGATTTTTATTATCGAAAACTTAATGTACCAATACTTAATTCTCCTTGACCTTAACAAAGAGGGTCACCTCATAATCAAATAAGGTTGTTTAAAGTTAATCCTCTATTTCTTCAAAACCTTAGCCCTTTGACCCTCGCCATGATGAATATCTGAAACTATGCTATTTCAATAATGGACTATTGACATATATTGACTCAAGAGCACCTCAATATAATCTAAACAATCCATGAGACCCATTATCTTGAACAACTTGATGTTCTGCGGTAAAAGAAGTTACACCCTGTTGAACATTCAAGGACTTGATGTTGCAAATAATGATCATGAAGAATGTTGATTTTGATGATGATCCAAGAGCTTAAAGACTTAGAGTATTGAAGATTGAAGATTGATGATTTTTGTATTGTAATAACTCTGTTTTAGTTTGATTGAGTCTGTAATTATAGAATCTAAGATAGCCGGTACATAGTCTGTAACTTAGAAGCTTCAAAAAGCTCAAATTTATCATTCAGGCTCGGCTTTAATCGATTAAATAGGTAAATAATCGATTAAAACAGTGAGAAAACCATTTTCTGTACAAACTCACTGCTTTAATCGATTAAACGACAAAATAATCGATTATTCCGTATGATTCAGATCGAGATAATCGATTATTTCACCAAATAATTGATTAAACCGGAGAGTATTGGGTTCGACGTATTTGGCTTCTATTTTAATCGATTATTACTCCAAATAATCGATTATTCTAGTCTGTTTCGATTTTAAACTTCAAACAAACCCTATTTTCGAAAACCCAATTACCAAGAACCCTAGTTTCGAAATCCCCAAATCCTAAACCCTAATTTCCCTACTTAAACTCTCCTTTGGCACTCGAGAAAGAAGAACAACCTTTTCCATACAAAAGTTAAGTGCTTGTGAGTGTCGAGAAGCTGTTTGTTGCAAGGAAAGGGGGCTTTCGAACCTGGTGTGGGCTAGAAGCGATAAGAATCACTAAGTGGAGTTCTTAGTGGATTGTGTCGTTGTCTGTCTCTGGGGAAAGTTGTTCTTCATCTCTTGTGGGTTTCAAGAGAGGTGTTATCTTTACTTTATCTCTTCCATTGTAATTTGTATTGTAACAATTTGTTTATAGTGACAGCGTTAATCCTCTGTTGAGTGATTAGCAACTGGAGGTAGGGTCTTTTGATCCGAACCAGTATAAATTTCCTGTGTAAGACTCTATCCCTTTCTCTATTTACATTTACACAGTTTTTTAATCGGCAAAATTTGGGGAAAATTTTGAAAACCTAATTTTTATTAAGAAACCAATTCACCCCCCCTCTTGGTTTTTGTCCCAAGAGAACCAAGTTTGGGAATTAATCCCAAGAGAAGAGTCACATCAAGTTATTGGAACTAAATGGGTATTCAGAAATAAGCTTGATGAAGATGGAAACATAACAAAGAATAAAGCCAGACTTGTTGCAAAAGGGTATTGTCAGGAGGAAGGTATAGATTATGATGAAACTTATGCTCCTGTTGCCAGAATTTGCTAAGATTATGCAGGGAGAGTTTGAAATGTCTATGATGGGAGAATTGACATTCTTCCTTGGACTACAAATCAAGCAAC